GTTATTTTGAATTAGTTTCGGGTGTGCAGCATGGTGGTTAGAAAATTATATAACTTATGAAGTGATCCCGATAACTCTAGGACTCACCTGGCACCGTAGGCATCACGTTATCATTGACTGTGTTCCCTGTGTGGCACTCACATCCCCGCGACGGCTCTCTCACCGCCAGCTTGTATTTCTTCATCCCACACCTTTTCCACCCAGCCCCCCGCCACCCTCCTAGCTGGCCACCCTCGGTTTGCTCTCTGCACCTCTGAGTCTGTTTCTGTTTAGTTTGTTTATTTCAACAGAGATGTCATTCTTTTCCCGTCAGGAGGGAGAGAAGAAAGGCAGGTGACCCTCACAGCGCTAACACTGGCCAGGATTTAGTCATTTTACATGATCTTGGGCGACGACACGAAATGAGACGAAGAGAAAAAGGAGCCCAGGGGATGTTTCCTTTGCTCGTTAGATTCCACAAATACGTGAAATCATATGGAATTTCTCTTTCTCTGTCTGACTCGTTTCACTCAGCACAGCACCCTCTTGGTCCACCCAAGTTGTCACAAATTGTCAGACTTCATTCTTGTTCATGGCCAGCATGCCACCGCGTACAGACACCACATGTCCTCTGTCCACTCGTCCACTGGCGGGCACGTGGCCGCTTCCAGGTCGTGGCTGTGGTCAGTGACACTGCAGGGAACAGAGGCTGCGTGTCTTCTTGGATTAGTGTTTTGAATTTCTCCGGGGATATGAAGTCATTTCATGACAGCTATTTGTATAACCAGAGTTATTTCTTTATTTCACCTGGGACCTCCAGGAGCCGAACATTAATGCCAGGACCAGCTGGCCCAACAGTGAAAAGCACGTGGATCAGGAAGACGCCATCGAGGCCTATCACGGGGTCTGCCAGACGAACAGGTAGGTCCCGCCTCGCGGTCTGTCCCTGGAGCCGTCACTGGCAAAGGGGGCCCGCCCAACCTCATCTCCTCAGGCACTGACTGTGTGCTCCTGACTGTGCGCTCCTCAGGGTGTCTCCTCTGTTCTCGGAGATGAGTGAGGAGGAGCAGGCAGTGAGCCATCACCCTTCCC